GCACGCAGCCCTCATAAATATTTGCGATACTCGCACTTTTTCCTTAATGACTAAACATTCGAATGAAGATCCAAATAACACACGAAGAAACTGGAGCATGCAAATTCGAAACGTGCGCACGTGTGTATATGTGTTACAGGCGTATTCGCTATAGACTGTTCTACTAAAAGATGCGTATTAGTGCGTATCGCTCAAGAGTTTCCGAAGCTATAAGAAAATCATTTTTTTGTAGAGGGAAATAGAATTGAAAAATTTATTTTTTCAAATTGTCTTAAATTCATTTAAACTGTAAAAATTATATTTTACACAAAAACTATGGAAATTATTATTTTATGCAGTATTACAAAAATTTCCACAGTATTATTGTGTAATATGTACATATAATAAATTTTTATATTTCTTAAATTATGGATATAAGACTATTTGTAAAAATAAACTCATCAATTTAGACTTTATTTGGAATTGACAGTTGAAAATTTAGCAGTTCAGAATTGCATTTAAATCTTTTTTTCTTTGAATATTTAAGAATCAATATACCTCATCGAGATTTAATAGTATAATTAAATGTATAACAATAAAAGTGTACAGATTATATTTATATTAGAGATGAAAGTTTTGAACTTTTGATTCCTTCAAGAATGGAGCTCTATCACTAATCTAAGACAAATTGTATGTGTGTGTGTGTGTGTATATATGTATGTACGTTGTTCGTATAAAGTTGAGATATTTTCGAAAATAGTGAAGACAATAAAGTGGGGAGAAAAGTATAAATTGTATCGATTGCGGAAGAAAGACACAATTTTATTGAAGTACAAAACTGGAAGTAGAAAAGGACTAGGAGTAGTTAGAAAAGGAGTTTAAAATTTGATATATCTATTATGTATTCGCAACATTTCTATTCGTTAATACTAATGCTTGGTTTTAATAGCAGGTACTTGTCTCGATAATCAGAATCGCTTTATAATTTTGGCATAAATTATAGATTTGAATAAAGACAACACAGCTACTTGCAAATGCAAGTAAAATTTAAATTTCCAATATAAAAATATTCAATGAGATATTTAAAAATTGTGTGAAATAATTATATAAATATATGTATATAATCTGGATAAAATGTATATTTGAATAAAGTTATTGTAAATTAATGTATGAAAATATATTATTATATTATATTTGTGATATGTAAATAAAATATGCAAAATGATATATTTACAATTAAAACATAAAACACTATTTTTTTAAACAACCTGTAATTTCTTTAATAAATTATATATATAAGTTACAGCTAAGACTTAAGAAGCTATAGCTTGAATTTTTAAGAAAGCGAATAATTAAAACTTTTTTATAATTGATATTGAGTTTCTTATTCAATCTCTCAAGCTATTGTCCCTTCATTACACTCTATAAGTATAGAGAAATATATTTTGTAAATTATTGCATTTCGATTGTGATAGAGGTAATTTATCAACTTAACGGCATTCAAATTTGATTTTATCTTGAAATAATATCGTCTTCTTTATTTAAAATAAAGAATACGGTAAAAATTATTAAATTTTAATTTCTAAATAACTAAACTTATTGTCAGATAAATATTTGAATTACTTTTTATAAATAAAGAAACATGAAAAAGCGCAGAATACTGACTCGATGTCATATTACATTGAAATATTTGGCATATATGTTCGTTAAAAACAGATATTAAAAATTATGCAGAGAGAACTGGAAAGTCCCAGAAACGCATTGAAAAATGATTTCACAAGTATCACGAATGTCTAACAATAAGTAAATTCGTTGACTAGATGATGTAAAGCTCTGTTACAATTCATCTGCGTGTATAATGTGATTTATTTTAGCTCGCCTCTTAGGCCTTTAATAACAAAAAAATAATGCACTATATATGAAAAAATGTGTGTGTGTGTGTGTACATGTTCTATAACTAAATGTATAACTGCAGCTTCTTGAAGCATTTGAAAATCTCTCTTTCAACAAAAATATCCAGAAAAATTGCATACGCTTTAATTTTATATACATATATCTATAGCTAAACTCTAAATCAAAATTTACTCGAAATTTGACTCAAGAAAGTTGAAAATGTAATTTTTTCTATAATTTTTATAGTTTCCATGCTAAACTTTTATCCACTAGAGATTCTTCCACTAATTATTCAAAGACTAATTATGTATTCTAATTATGTACATAAATAATTCTTGTTAATAGAGAAAACATTACAAATTGATCCAAGAATCTGTAAAAATTATCTATAAAAGAATTCAATAATCGTGAAATCTGTTATGTTATGCGAATGTAAGTCTTTATATATGTTTGGATAAATACGCCTCGCATATGTAAGTGCTTTAGAAGAGACTATTTAAAATATTGTGCCGGAAGGATCATTGAAACGTTTATACATATAGGATGAGAATGAGTAAATTGAGGATAAAAGATTGCAAAAAGACGTATGCACAGTGTATCACGATTATAGTATATAATTAGAAAAGCGAAAAATGGATCAGCGAGATATTATTTCTTTCTCTCAAACCCTCTCTTTTCCTTCGATTCTTCCTATCGGCCACGAATTGATACAATCATAATTAGAAATAAATATTTATATATACTATTCGCCTTCTCAAGCAAGTGCATTTTTATATAACGTGCCTGCATTTTTTAATCGTCGTTGTAATAATATTTTCTCCTTCTTTCGCAAAAAAAATAATACCCTACTGCATATTTTCTAATTAATTAATGACTTAACACATTATTAACGATTTACGCGTTATATGTATAGGTATCTCATATTATATGCGTCTTGGAATCACATCGATTATCCTTTTAATTATAGTCAATCAAATTAATCACGAAGACAATTTTCCTTTAATGAACACATCGACGGAGATATTATTTTTCATTACATTTCAACTTTCAATATTATACATCTTTTGCAATTAAGTTTCAAATAAAAATTTTATTAAACTCTACTTGAAATTAATTGAAAAATATAATTTAATTGTTTTCTTCTTTTCAAATTTAGATATCAATTTGTTTTTTGTTTTTAATTGTTTTTAATTGTTATTTATTCGAAGATTATGTATTATAATAAAAGCATTTTTAAGCGGTTCTATAAATTCAGTATAGCTTATAGATTTTTTATACAATTATAATATGACATTTAACGTAACATGAAATTTTTTAACATAAGAAAGAAATGAATACGTGTTAGACAGAAAATATCATGGTACGGATGATTACATAACCGTATTAAAAAGACATGATAAAGTCGTCATTGGTAACACCAGCAGTACATCGAACTTATTACCTACGCGTTAAGAAAGTTATTGTATAGAAAGTGTGTTACGTACTTTCGGTATTAATATTATCTAACTGAAAATCCAAATGCAAACAACGTTGTAAAAAATACACTCGCCGTGCTTTGAATAATTCCAATCGAAAAAGCAAAAGCTTTCTCGCATAGCAACAATACGAGAAAAATGCCATATAAAATAATTTCGCACTTTCTCTCTCTCTAACATTTAATCAACAAACTGTGCGTTGGAATGAAGACTTAAATAACGTCAGACGCTTTAGAAGAAAATCATCACGCGCAATCTATATAAGCGTGCGTATATAATTTCGCGTAATCGCATGCGCGAATATATTGAATTAATGAAGTTTTGCCGTGTTCTTCTTATACAAATAATATTAACAAATAACTATTTTTCTACATCAAATTATTAATTATAAATATTATAAAATTCTTAATTCCTTAATTTTAAAAACTTTGATGAACATTTCATATGAAGATTTCGGAAGAGTAAGAGTTTTAAGAAAAACGCAGCAGAACATCCAAATTTAATTTAAAATCAATTATATAATATTTTTTTTACGAAGCCCAGTTATGTGTAATTTTTTTCATGGGAATACTAACACTTGAATTATGTTCTGAAAAATATTTACTTGCTCTTATATCTCTTTATCCCTCGTAACGATATCTAATGGCTAACTAATGACACCGATGGACGAAACGGTCGACATGTTTTCTTCTAAGTGAACTGTCGTTGCACTTTGTTTAAATATCTATTTCCATTAATTTGTCAATTTGTTAACTAATAAATTTCTTAGAACACACGTTTCTTGCTTTCCTTGATATGATCGAAACGTGATTCCCCTTTTAAAAACATAATACTTTCAAGATTGCCTTGCTTGTGTCACTGTCTCTTTCTCTGGCTCTTTTTCTTTTTCTATTTCTCGGAAGATTATTTAAAAAATTCATTACACACTTTTCTTACATAAATCAAATTACCATGATGAAGAAAGAAAGTACTATTTCTCAATTTCAATTAAATCTAAATTTCATTAAATCTAAACAAACTGAGATATATTCTAATAAGGTATTTTCACAAAATCTAAATTTCTACAAAATCTTAAAATAATAATTTTATTCTTTTTTGAAATGTTTGCTTACTTTTTATCATTTGTTATTTATGCAGTTTTCGAAATTTATATTTCTGCATTTTTGTTTATATTCTCTCATACGGATTATTTTTAAATCTTCTAAATTTTTAAATCTTCAAATATCAACCTTCTTTAATTTTTAAATTTAGATCTTAAAATATGTATAAACTTCTGCACTGATTATATTTTTACACATATCATTCATACATAGAAACCCAGTATATAATATGAATTTCTAGCATTCATTATCGTAGATTTATGTCTAAAAAATTAAATAATTATAATTTTATAATCATATAAATTTTATTTTCAATTGACTTCTTCTGATCTATTCAATTAGTTGGAAGAAAATTGTCAATGACCACTTGCATCGTACATTTAAAAAAATAATAATATATGAATTTAATACCATAGATAGCTACTATCGACTGCGGACAGAAAAAAACAATATGATCATATAATACATTTTAAAAAATAGTATTGGCATTTTTTATCAAATAATATAATAATTAATATATTATATGTTACTTATTTTTTGTAATTCTATATAATTTTATATTCTATATAAGTTTCACGACATATATTTCAAGCAACATTTTATTCATATTGTGTCTTTTTATATTCTTTCTTATATTTAACATGATATATATACTTTAAGATATATCATATGATCAATCGTTTTTATACCGCAGTATATAATATTCTATCTTCCGTGATAAAAACATTTCTTTCTCATTATTCACGTAACAAATATCCATCTCGATTCTTTGTTATTTTCTTTCAGCATTAAGATTTTTCATTGTCAATAATTTATACATCTTTTTGCCCCTTCCGAAGCAATATCACGTGCGATACCTTCGCCAACGACTGACGGTAGACTTTTAGTAAGATTTTTATAATTTAAGGGGAGTAAAAAACGAAAGTGTATTCAGTCTATGTCGATCACATCCATATTTTCCGCTGATCCTTTTCGCTGTCGCAATTTCCGGCGCAGCAGGACCGTTTTAAGGATACTGGACGACCTTGGACCCGCGACTTCCGGCCGCGGGTAATTCTGCTACGCCGCTTTGTGCCTCTTTCTTTGCTCTCTTCTCGTATTTGAACTAGGACTGCCCGAGCCTTTCTCGCAATCTGCTGTCGGCACAGGTTTCAGTTCTCTGTAAAAAGATATGCATTGAAAGATACCTTCATACCTCGATGCTCTTTCGCGGACTCGAAAGCGTAAATCAATTGTATCGTGAAGATGATATGGAGCCTCGTTGATATGATAATTTATGAAGAAAACATCCACACTGTATGCTATTAAATAAAATCAAATTTTTATTAGTATTTAATATAGTTTACGTATATGTATACGTTCTCCCCACCTCCTTTGAGCAGCGGAAAAGGCTTTTTCGAGAAAAATACAGAATTTCATAGATAATTTGGACAATACAAATTTCTATGCAAATATATAAAAGTTATATAATTTTCAGCAAACTTTTTAAACGATTAAAATTAATTTACTAATCTTTAAATAATCATATATATGTTAGTAGCTTCTGTTCTAATTGTCTTTATATTCTGTGATATATAGGATCTATTATTTTTTGTTTATAATAATATATAGATAAATATAAAAATTGTTAACTCTCTCTCTGTTCTAAATTTATTTTTTTCTGCTTCTCAAAGATACAGAAATATTAGATTGTAAAATTATATAATAATAGTTGAATTTATTATATATATTTAATGCCATAAAATCAAAGATACAGTATCAAACCATATTATACTTGAGTTTCCCAAAACATTGATTTGACGGATGTTTTACATCTATAAGCGAAAGAATCCAATTAATTATGAGAGATGATACGCGCGCCAATGTAAGTTATCGTTAATTACCTACCTATAATTAAGCAGCTCTTCATCGTCAGGCACCCTAGATATAAGATCGAGGAGCTCGTTGTTGGGCACGGTGTGAGGCCTGAAGATTTTTCTAGCAAATTTATTAACTCCCCAGACAAGGATCAGATACCGGATAGGAATAAAATAGAGCACAACTGCTCCAGCGATCACCAGAATAATCGCCAAGTAACTTAAATAGGGAATCGTGAAGTTGAAAAGATTTTTCACTCTCTCGCAAAGACTAGCTATGTAGCCGATCGAGTTTTGAACTGTTTGCGTCACCTCTTGAATTGCTTGTAAACGCTCTTTCAGACTTTTTTTCTCTTCCTGAAAAATCGTATATCTTAATGAGTGAAACGTTTTAACTTCATGTTGCTTAAACATATCCAGAAAATATACTAATTTTTCAGATATTCTAATTCTGTAAATGTTATTTAGAAATGTATATTCAATATATTAAAATCCATAAATAGGCGATTAGAAAATTAAAAGATCGATGCAAGCAAAATTAAGATGTAAATGAAAATAAAATTTTTTCCGAACATAAAGTCTAATAAAGTTAAATATTTCAGAAAAAGTAGATATTTTCTAGATATTTCAGAAAAAGAGTATATTTTCTAAATATTTAATATAAAACAAATTACAGCTGTATCTGTATGAATTTTATACATGATATTTATACAAACATAGTTAAATTTGTATGATTAAACATTACTTAAATAAGATATTAAAGAGATAAAATTTTTATCCGGGCATTATTGCTATTCATAGAACGTAATGAGATAGACATAAAATACTTTACGGAGGCGCATAATTCTTAATACTTCAGCTTATTGCTAACACGAGGGAGAGCAATCTACCTGATTAATTTGCGTAGGTCGAAGGTCATAATGTTAAGTTTATTAAATAGAGCATGATATACGGTACGCAAATGAGAATTTACCATATTTATCATTATCTTCGCATTATTATCTATAATGAGATTCCCCTAACAATATCTTATAGATCTAATAGTGTACAACAAGTAACAATATGATTTGCATCACTCTTTACGTACAGTTATATTAATGGAACAAAAATTCGTACAAAACATAATATGTTGTTATCATGAAAAAACAATTTTTTGTTGTTTGTGTCGTAATTAAATGCCATATTTTTTTAAAAATACACAATGACTTACTTTATCCTTGTCATCCTCGTCATCGTCGTCGTCCCCTGGCGTTGCCGGACAATCGTCAGAACCAATCTCAGAATGATCTTGAAACTGCGAACTTGCGTAAATCAAAGGTGCACCCGTCACCACAGCGACCTGTCCGCAAATCCAATGATTGAATCCGCTCCTTTCGCCGCTAAGCTGATAGGTAGCAAAGAAATTCGACATGCAACATAGCCAATAAAGAAACAAAGCGGACATAACTTGCACTTATGCAGGATGGGTTCAGACAATTTAAAATACAATTACAGGACATATGAATTAATACAAAAAATGTCAAATATTTGATTTTGTTTGCAAGATATTGACGAATGATTCAGATAATAGTTTATTATAAATCTTTTTATATTAATTCTCTATATATACTATTCCGTTCAAATCAAATGTTGTATCATTTTTATTTTTAAGACACAACTGCAAGAAAATGTTGCTTTTAATATTTTTTTTAATTCTATAAATTTATCAATCTTTAACTTTGTATAGTTTTGTAGAAGAAGAAGGGAACTGATATATTTTTCTGAAATTATTTTAAAATACTCATTGTGCTATTTAAATTCAAATTAAATGAGTACAGAATATGATAAAATTAAACATTATATATAATCCCAATTATTTATTCTTTTGTTATAAAAGTCTATTAAAGGAATTTTTATGCAAAATTAATCGCAAACATATGAGGCATTCACATATTAAGATGTTAAAATAAAATTATTGAATAAATGCAAAAATTTAAGAAAAATGCATGCTCTGTTCACTGGATGAAATAATATCAATGATTTTTATCACATTTTGTACATACTTGGTCAATAGATCTGCAAGAGGCAATAAAGATCGAAGAATAAAGACTAAAGAATCAAAAATAAACATTTAGTTAAAATATAAAGTATAAAGTTTAAAGCGCTTGAACATAAAAATTAAAAATTGGATGGATTTAGAATGTCATGCTGGCATTATAGATTAATTGTAAGTATTAATCCCTTGCATTAATAAATTTTCAGTTTTTTCTTTGCGGATTCTGGAATCATCAAAAATATATTGTATATATATATCATACAAAAATCAATTTAATATCACTATTTTAAAGTGACCTTATAATCTTTTATTTATTTATCATATCTTTTATTTGTATAAAGAGTGTCAAGAATTAATAATTATATTAATTTTTGAAATACAGATAGTACCTGCGAGAGCATGGGATTAAAACTCGAATAAAATCAATAATAAAAATGACGTACCAAGTAATATTTTAGAAGAATCAATAATGCCACACCTGGTATCATATATGGTTCGAAGTAGTAACATCCGAAAATAAAAATCACTAGAGCAATAACGCTCCTCATCTTATTTTCCCATTCCCAGCAGCTCCTAATCATAGAGAAAAATGAGAAATAGTAAATGGTAATAATTTAAAAATTTAGAAAATTTATTTTAATTCCATCCAAGACACTTTTGTTAAAAAGTATGAAATCTTAGAATTATAATTTTCTAAATAATATATATAAAACATTAATTCATATATTTTATATTATTATATTATCACCTAAATCGGTCACTCACTGTATATATTTCCCTATGTCAATAAATATGACGATAATAGCCTTGAGTCTGAGAACGTTTCGCAGAAAGACTTGTCTCTTAAATTTCATTTCTGGCTCCATATACTTTTTTTCCTTCGGATTAAGCGTTCTGACGCATGCTCTGATTATATTCCACACGATGGTCATTTCCAAAAGAATCTGAGGGCAGTTACCCTTCGCGCGGCCCCTCAATTTCTTATCCTTCAACGCGTACCACCGTTTCTCTCCGTTACGCATTTTTAGTAATGGTATCGCCACTTTCCCAAGAAACTCCACTTTGTGATCTCGATCCTCGTCGTACACTGTCACCTCCAGAACGGAATTGATATCCTTTACATTGCTATTGTAACAGAAATTGTTTTCGATTACATTCAAATAAAATGATTGTCTGATCATATTCTAACTTTTGCTATTTTCGTATTTAATAATATGATAATTTATGTTAAAAAATGCTAATAAAAAATGCTAACAGCATTCAAATTAAATTTAAATTAACTTACAAAGTGAAAATTTTCTGCCAATTTGGTGCCAGAGTTTTATATTCCGTCTGCGTTTGTAATCTGGAATTCACGAGCTCCAAAACGCAAAATGGATCACTCTTACCGCCGAGATCGGCTGCTGCGAGACCCTGCGCTCGATATACCTGTAAAAAAACTGAATTAGAAGCAGATTCTCATAATATGAGATTTGTCAAAAAATTCGTTTATTTTATTTTGATTTATAAAAGTCTTATAAAAAAAGCAATTCTTTAAAAATTTTATTAAGATTGAGAGATTGTTCAAAAGTATTTGTAAAAAAATAACTTGAAACCTTAAAGCTCAACACAATTTTAAAATAATTTTTATTAAAATCAAAATAATTACTTCTAACTATAATATGTTAAATAATAAAAGCATAACCTTGTCAAAAAATTATTCGATAAGAGATAAATTTAAAATATAAATTTAATTGCACGAATAAAAGTATTTTTCAATATAATCAAGGAACTAATATGACCAAACGATTTTAACAATTTATTTCAGAACTCCGTATATTAATTAGCATCCCTAGGTGACGTTCTAAGAAAGTTAGCACTCTAGAATATATCGGTATGTTAACAGATGTTAATAGTCTTTAATTACCTTCACTGTCAGGTGACCTACGTCGCGTATCCTCTGCAGAGTGTTTAAGATTGAATAGCGGTGGATTAATTGAACGCGTTCCATCGGCGTGTCCTCGTGCACGGCCAGATCACTGATGGTCTCGCTGGCCGTAGTGCCACTTATTGTTAAAAGTAAAAAAATATTGCCCGAGCCATCCTCGAGTTCACGCCATAATCGATGCGTGGTTTCTCGTTCGAGAACCGCCAGATCGATCATCGTCCTACCCATTAAATCGTCTTGGTGACTTCTGTCTCGATCCCAGACTGTCACTTCCAACTCTTGTCCCAAATACGGATCCTCATACAGATGGAGATCAAACTGTTCCAACCAAACTGGATTTAATGTCTTGTTAACGACTTTCGACTTGTACTTCTCCGTGCCGAGTCTGCAAATTATTACGCGAAATTCTGGTTTTTATAGTCGAACTTTCAGTTGTATAAACTATTGCTGTTTGAATTGCTAATATATTTGCAAACTTTAGTCAAGTCAATTTTACAGTAAAATCGCGAGAACAGAATTTATTTTTGCATTAATCTACAGTAAAAATAGCAAAGTTAATGGACGAATTTACATTTAATCATTATGTAGTATGTTCTCTTTAAAGCAAATTATTTTCTTTAAAGCAAAATTAAATTTATATCAATATTCTTTAACAAAAATAAATAATAATATTTAATTTACGTAATCCCATATTAACGAATTTACATACCGAAATTTCACATAAGGATCCGATAAACCATCTATGTCCATCGGCAATAAATTCTTTGCTTCCACGAGCACAATTGTAACCACCGAACTCCATATTTGTGATTTTAATCGTCTATTTACGTCCGCCAATCGATTCGTCTTCTGGAAATACTGCAATGTTAAATAAATTCTCACTACTACTATTAGCACTACTGTGAGACTTATATTGCAATATAATATAATGTATAATTATTGGAAATTGGAGACAATATAATCAACGATTGCGCACATGAAATGCTGCAATTGTTCAAGTCTCTCTTTATTAAAAAGCATAAGGACAAGCAAAGGACAAGCATAATAAAAGAAACAATGCATAAAAAATAATACCATATAAAATCGATTATTTGACCTTTTACTTATATTCCTGTGCTTAACACATGTATCTATTATAATTTATATATTGTTATTAGAAAGTTATATTCAAGAAGGAAATTTATTTAAAAATCTTTTAAATATAAGAATATATACGAAGTTAAATTATTTGTTTATTTTTTAAATAGTTAATTAAGCTATTTAAGAGAGACCACTTTTTAATTTAAAAAAATTAACTATTTATGTTTAACAATAACTTTTCTTATACACTTTTACAAATGGAAGGAAGAGAAGGAGGATATATACAGTATAATATATGTGCATATATGTATATACATATATTATATGTATATACATATATGCATTATATGTAAAACTTGAATACATTTTCCTCCTCCTCCTTCTCTTTCTCCTATATATGTATGTATAAATATACATAAATATGTATATATGTATAATAATGTGTATAAAATATAATGTGTATAATAATGTGTATAAACATGTGTATAATAATATATGTAATAAACTATATATATTTATGTATATAATTATACATATATTTTTTTGGATTACATAGTAAAAGGAACTAAATAGCGCGTGCATAGCACGCATTTTGTAATGTTCTAATACATTAAAATCAAGATATATCGGAAAAATATTATTTAATTGATGTATATATTAAATTTTAAGCTGAAAACATTTCTATAACCCGTTTTTATGAAATATATTAGAAATAATTTTTTCATTATAATATGTCATAAATTTTACTGATAAGAAAGAAAGATATTCGTTTTTTATATGTATATACCCTATGAATATCTTCCATCTTCTCTTTAACATTATCCTTTAGTCTATCCAAAAGATCGTGTCGTTTGACTTCCTTTACTTCCAAAATATCAGGATTGATTAACACATTAGTATTTTCTTCTCCATTTTCCGTATGCGAGGGAACTTCCTGCTTTTTTAGTTGCGCGGTTGGACTCACGGACTCGAATCGACTTGATTTCGGAGAACCAGTCCGGTTTCGCAGTCTCCGGAAATGATCGATCACTTTTCTCTCGATTTTCGATTCATCGATCCTCATTGCTCGTCGATTCTCCAACGGTCCGCTCTCAATTTTCGGTTCCTCATCCGCTGTTGTCGCTGACGTGAATTTGAAATCATACACGGGTTCCGACACAACGTCTTCATTGACATCTTGTTGACAATGCGTTACTGTGTAGCTGGAGGAAGGCTTGCAACGATCGACGATCCATGTCTCGATCGGTTGCAGCCATGAATGTTTCTCCACATTCTCTTCCAAAGTCCGCTCCACGTGATCCTCCAATATCCTTTCTATCGATTCCATCTTCCGCTCCATGGAACTTTTTAGCTTTGCCTTTTTTCTCTTAATTTCAGATCGTTTTTCGATGGATGCTTCAACCACTCGTGTCTTCCAAACTTCTATCATCGCAGACGCTCGTTCCAACTTGGATTTTTCATTTTCAGTAGTATTCGATTCCGTCTTCTTAGTTTCGGAAATTGATTTAGGAACTAATCCTTTTACCGCAGAAGCTTCCTGGATTTTCGATTTCTCGTCGGTAAGAGAGCTCGATTCTCTTGAATTTTCTTCATGTGGAATATTTTCGAAAACATTATTATCTGATGCCAAGACATCATTTTTATTTTCATCAGCTTCGCTTTCCGTATTAGTATTATCCGTATCTTCTGTCTCGAATTTTTGTTTCGATATGATTGGATTTAACTCTGCGAGAGGTTGATATTGTTGTTGGTCCATGGGAAGTTTCCGGCGCAATCTTCTGGGAGGTCTTTCAATATCGAATGATTTATCGACAGTCTCATCTATTTTATTAAAAGCAATATCCGTAGTGGATGTTACGTGAATCTCAGATGCAGCGTTGACTTTAGACACGTCATCGTCAAAGTTTTTCTCCGGCACGGCATCTGTTTCACATGTGATTTTGGACATGACATCAATTTTCGGTGTAACTTTAATCTCGGGAATGATATTAGGTCCGCTCGCATTCACTTTAGATGAGGAATCTTCGGATGTAATATTCATCTTGGATGTGACGGTCGCAAAACTTGAATCGGATTTGATCTTCCACGTGATTAACTTTGCGCAATTTGTCACTATTCTTTTCGACGCGATATCAAATTTGCGTGTATTGATTTTAGATCGAATATACTGTCCAAGTTCAACAAATTCAATAATGTAGCATTCCTTCTGAGTGAGAAACTTTCTTAAAAGTAATGCTGTTTTTCAATTTTTATTTTTTAATTAAAAAAAAACGAATCATAAACGTTTTTTTTTCTGCATCAAGAGAAAAATTCTACGTGTAACGTGTTATTTTCGTTAATTTTCATCAAAATTCTTTAATCCAAAGCCATTATTATCATGTTTCGTCCGATTGACTTGCAGCCTTCATTGCTAATGGACTCACGTCATAATGGAACCAGATATCCAATATCATTCCTCGGCTCTTCGTCTTTCATCCATTAAAATACCATGATTTAACTTGTCATGGTTTTTAAATGCATTAAAATACGTTTTTGCATAAAAAAGTCATGCAAAACAGAATTGCATAATGTCGCGGAAGTAGACAAAAAGTATTTAAACGCGATGAGTAGGCACACGTGACCTTGAGAAATAATTATTATATAATTTTTTTCTAACTTAATGATTTTTTTAACATTATAATCACACACTCTTTATACGTGTCATATCACTTATCTTTATACATCTCTTGCAACAAATACTTGATATAAAATAAACATGTTATAGCAAACTTTCGAAACAATCTGAAGAGCTGTTTGACACATTGAAGCTCACTTGACACTCTGATGTCAACTGAAGCTGGTACACACAAGAGTGTGAAAGAAACTGTTCGCAAAGAGACACTTACGTGCGTTGACTCACTTTTATTCACTTACGAGAAACACATAAAGTGTAAATATCAGGCTTTAGTCACTTAGCAATGATAACGGTATTCGATATTGTCGATTAGCGTGGCTGAGTCACAATGAGAAATATAGGCGGTTTGCAATCACGTGGCCAACGGAAGTCTCTTATCACGAGCAACGCTAAACCTGTTACTGCTGTATAATCAAATTCATTTACGAATCGTCCCATCCTATCTGCGTCGCATTAAGCGACGATACACTTATCATTCGCAAGTCGAATCGACAAAAGTCATCCGACTATCAAGTATGCTTCGTCGACAACTGGCGTAACATGTTGACCAATTGGCCTTCCTTTCCCTCTCCATTTGCATCGAGAAACTGATGTTACGTCGGTAAACATTAAGACAGTATTCTTGATGTTATAACCGCACAGCACGGTATTCTGCCGTAAATGTTTTTCAATTTACAAAGAAAGAGACTGAGACACATCACTTAGCATAATGTAAAATTTGTATTTAATTTTCTCTCAATATTCTAGAATAGCCGTTCTTTAATTTACAGAGAGAAAAAGAAACATCAAACAGAATAATATTAAATTTGCTCAATTAAAAAAAATAAAGTAATATATCTAATTATATAAATAATTATCTGTATTTTTCTTGTTTTCGTAAGTCAACTTAGAAAGAATTTTAAAGATTAAATATTAATGCCATTGTTTTTTTCATTGTATTTTTCATAAATACCATATTTTATATTATTTTATATATGTATATATGTAATTAATGTTTCTGTTATATATATATATATAACAGAAACATTAATTACTTATATACATATATACATATATATTACTTATATACATATATAAGTATACATATATAAGTAAGAAGATTAATCAGAAACATTAATTACCTTATATTATCTTATATTGGGCAAATTTCAAGAACGAATTTTATAATTGTAATTTAATTCTTAAACTTTTTATTCAGCACATTATATATTTCGATAATAATATATTAAATTAAATTTCTAATAATAAAATTCAATTGAATTTAATAATAAAATCAAAAATGTTTTAAAATATTAAGATTCTAAGAAGTAACACATAAATTAAATGAGAGGTTTAAATGTAAATGTAGCGCAAAGTTTAAATGAGCAAAGTGCGACGCGTGTGAACTAAATGTCGCATTATTATGTCTATAGAACTGAACTCTTACGCAAATTAATTATTAATTTCTAAAGCACATTTAATGTCCGGCGTCATGTAATATCCGAGTTTTCATTTAATTATTTATCGCGACATGGAGGAATAGTATTTAATAATAGTTAACATATAAATGGAACTCCCGTGATAAGGGCCAGGCCTTGCACTCCACTTTCAACGACAAGCCGCCAAGTCGATATCGTAATACGGGCGCATATTTCCCTCACAACCCAGTTTCCAGATTCTTCATATATACGCTATAAATATACGCACAACACATCTATCTCTTTACCGCGACCGAGAATCATCGACGTCGCGATCGCTTATTGTTAGTTTATTATCCCTGCTCTATCCTTCATAGAACCGTAGTTGATACATTTTCGATACACATTCTATTCTCGAATATTCGTTGGTATTATGTATGTTTAATAATCTATCATTTCTCTCGTGAAATTATAAATAAATTAAAAAGTTTTAAATAAATCAAAATTTTTCCGAAAGAAAATGAATAATGCAGATAAATATATGATACCTGTTCTTTTTCCTGTTGATTTTTCGGCCATAATGTAGCCGTTAAATAGATTTCGCCTAAATGTTGCTTCGGCCTGCCCGGATCTTTAAGTTCTAATGTTATATCCTGAGAATGTCCAAGGTCAAGTTGTGTAAGATCCAATTGAGCAGCTCCCATAAAGTCATCCTGCAGACCCCAATCATAATCGAAAACCTGTCAATATATAGAAAGTTTTTTGATAATTTCTCGTTACAATACTTTTATTAGAGATAATTCTTAATAAATATTTTTACTTATTTTTATTAGAGATAATTCTTTAATAATATTTTTACTTACTTTTATCAGAGATAACCCTTCAATAATATTTTATATCTTAAATTATATATTTTAAATATTTATATATTTTACTCCAATTTAAATATTTAAATTTAAATATTTATATATTTTACTCTATATATAATCCCAATATTTATTAAATAAATTAAATCATTTTAATTTAAATTAGAGATAAAAAATTTTATATAAAAAATTGGAATTTTCTTAAAGTGATATATTTATAATTAATTTTTTGATGTTTTATCTATATTTGAAATTTGGATTGATGTAATAGAAAACTCATTAAATATACCTTAATAGTAAGTGGTTGAAAAGGATCTTCTATGGGCAAGGTCACGCTTTCATCCCAAATTGGATTTAAATCGCGATGAACAGTTCGTGATTTATGTAATAATCGTCCTGAACATTTTACCTTTACATAAGGATCGCTGGCCCCTAAAACGAGAAACTAACAGTTATAAATTGCAATATTTTATGGATATGTCGATAGATATAAAGGATACTTTATATTCCCATAAATATAGCTTGAACATTTCGAGCTATATTTTATGTATCCATGTAAAAATATCTTCAAATGATTTTAAATGATTTTACAAGCTTTAAGATAATTTTTTTTATTACAATTTTTTATGATTTATTTATTTTATAAAATAATTGTGGAAATTGTTTGCACATTCTGTTACAAATCCATATACATATACAAATATATGTATATTCTATATATTTTTATGAATCTTTTCTTCGATAAAATAATAAAAATAGTTAAAAAAATCTCTTCTTTTCTCTTACCGCCTCTGTCCATCGCAACGAGATTTGCGCCTCTCCTTATGTGCAAGCGAAGCTGAAAGAAGGCATGTTGCCTCAACGCTAGTTCTCTCTTTCGCATCACCTCGTCCTGAAGAAACTCGCCCCCATCCTGGCTGATAGAACTCTGAGGCCCTTCGCTTGTATGTCCTTCTTTTTGACTTTGGAAACTTACGGATCCTTTCGAAAATCCTTCGCCGCATTTTCCGATGTTGTCCTCTTGCATGGTCATGATTTTTTCTCGGCCACCACGCGCCAACGGAGATTCTGTGCATATAAAATGCACGTGTCATACCCACAATTTGGCCATAAATTTGATTAACCAAAAGTAAAAAATTCCGGTTGAAAATCATAAACTTCATGCAAGTGTATTTTTATGAAATATTTTAAAGTTCAAAGAATATATAATATTATTTTTTGAATTTCAATCATTGACTATAATTAACGTCAATTAATTACTTGCATTATTTTTAATCTTAAAGCATTGACGTAAGCATTATTATACGAATTTCATATTCTTAGAATTCACAATATCTTCAAATCATATTATTATATAAGATATTACATATATGAAGATTATACATTATTACAAGATTGAGTAAAAAGTTAATTACTTGCAATCTTCAGGTATTGGCGTAAGCATTATTATTGTATAAATTTTGTATTCTTGGAATTCATAATATTTTCAATTTATATTATTAGCGCAAGATATCAAATTTAAAGATTGTATTAATGCCGAATGAATAAAAAATTGAACATATTATATAAAAAGTTTGAGAGAAAATATATAAAATAATTTGAGGGAAAAGATGTAAATAAAAATGTAATAAAAATAAAGATGTAACTAAATAAAAACATAATTATACTATGGCCTCTGTCGTAGGCGAAGCTTTAAACATCAAAAAACCGTTATGTACTGATGCTTGTATTATAAACCAAGTACATAAAGTCCTTCAGATTAATCTGTCTAAGTATAGCAAGACACGCCAGCAAGGCATTCATGCTGAAACATTTTGGATCAATTGATATAATGAAGTCTAAACGTGCCGCACATATTGACTTTTATTACTTTGAAAATTAAATGCAAAATGCATAGTTTTATTTCCACGAATGTAATAATTAATGCTAAGCTTATATAATTAATGATAGACTTTATTCGAAAAATATTAATTGTTTAATTATTGTTTGTTTGTCAACAATACAGTTGTTATTGGCCAAAAAAAATATATGTAAGTGAAATTATTATCATTTATACTAAGTATTTCACGAATATATTTTCAATGATAAATGATATGTCCAAAGCATATGTTATATTTATCATCCTATTTTATTGTTTCACTAAAAAGTTAAGTTTCATAACATAACTATTTTGTGAGAAAGTTTATTAAATCAAGTAATTTGTCAATAAATTTAAATTAACTCACTGAAGAATTTAAAGTAACTCATTTTCGAATAGCCACTTATTCAAATAAAGAAGTATTAATTCTTCAGTACTTCAGATCGCAACCATTTAACCTAGATATACACACACATATATATACAAAATTGCAAAGGTTAAATTTTTTAACTTTTTAATAGAAATCATTTAATAGAATCATTTGCACTATAAACACGTGCGCTTCGACATTTATTATGCAATATAACACTTGAAGAAAATTATAAATAGGAATTTGCATAAAAATGTACTTGAACCTAGATTCGTAGATAGTAATTTGCAAACTAATATAAATGAATCGATCAGCGTAAATATGAGTCATATTTCTCTTATTAAAAATTTAGAAATATGTTCGGAATTTTTTAAAATATTGAGAATGCTTAAAAAATTTAAATAAATTAATAATAATTAATTAAAAACAAGGTAAATATTTATTTTTCTTCAAGTGTAAATATATGTATAAAAAAGATTTAGTTCTTCTTGCGACATTAGTTAAAGCATTTGAATTCTTAAAGTACTGATATTTTATCAAATGCAGTTTGAAAAGCACTATTATAAGCGATGAAACGGGAAGTAAAGACATCACTTATTGTTAGAGCTTCATTGCATAACAGTAATTCAATTCATTATATATTCAATGCATAGCGAGCGTGTCATAACATTACACGTATACAATTGTTATGTCATGCCGACCGCGAACTTTTCCTTCATATATATAAATCACATATCTCGTAAATTCTAAAAATTTTCTGTCGTAACTAATGATATAATACAAGTTTATACATGCATTTTAAGCTTTTTAAAATTTAAATACTAGATATTTCTTAATTCTGGATTATATTCTTATTTGTAATAATTCATTTTAATTGCCGATTTTTTAAAAATATTTATAATTTAATAGGAACAATTTTATTAATAAAATTTAAATATATTTTTGTAATATATTTTTTTAAATTTCTTAATTTAATTATGATTCTGATATGAAAGTGTATATCAGTTCAAAGCTTGCGTTCTATCTGACAGTGAAATCATGAATT